ATAGAGGCAACTGTTTTTATCAAATGAAGAGCTCATGCATGTCCTTTCCCTCCATAACCTGCCTTGTGTGTGCACCAAACTGAACTCAGTGGATTCCTTCTTGTTTTTTAAGCCACATGTCCCCATGTTGTCTTAGCGGTCTTTATAGTGGCATAAGGAGACTTTCTCTTTGCCACAGCCAGTGTGGGGAATCTCTTGTTATGTTGTAAATTTTATTCCTTTTCAGTATTCTAAAAGGATGCCTATAATGAATTTTCTGTGTGCTGCTCATATTGCATAACTCTTAAGGAATTAGGCAATATGAAATATCCAGCTATGTTTAAGTTGGCCAAATGGTTAAAGCTTGTTAGTTAACTGGCACCATAATACTGAGCATGTTTATTAAACAGTAATTCTTACTGTGTTCAGTGTGTCTTATATTCATTAGTAAGTTTGCTTAGGACTGCAGCCTAAAAAAAGTTTGAACACCTTCCACTTTGAGTATTTAAGCTTCTGTATGTGTGTTACTCATGTGAAGAGGTATTCACATTGTCAAAGAACAGCGTATCTGCTCTCCATTCCCAGAGCTTTTTTCACCTGAATTTCCACATATTCAGTATAGCTGTTCAGGGGGCTATGATTTCTCTTTAACAAAGGTGCCCACATCACATGTGGATGTTAGGAAAAGGAAAGCCTGGTCTCAAGATCATCCAGCGGCATGATCCCACTGCCACTTAATTGTGAGAGTACCCATTCATGTGCGCAACTGATCAAGAAGTCTATACTTAAAACAAGTACTATATGAATGACAGTGGTGCCTCGCTTAACGGGCGCCCTGTTTAATGACGAAATCACATAGTGATGAAGATTTTGCAATCGCAAAAGTGATCGCATTGCGATGTTTTAAATGGGCAAAAATCGCTTTGCGATGATCGGTACCCTGTTTCGCTTACCGATCATCGTAAAGCGATGATTTTTTAACAGCTGATTGGCGGTTCCAAAATGGCCGTGGGTAAAAAAAATGGCCGGCCGCTGTTTTTTGGGATGGATTCCTCGCTTACCGGGCAACGAAAATGGCTGCAGTATGGAGGATTTTCATTTAAAGGTGAGTCTGAAGCCCATAGGAACACATTGAAGAGGTTTCAGTACCTTCCTATGGGCTTTTTAAAATCGCATAGCGACGAAATCGCTTTGCAGCGATTTTTGCTGCACCTATTATCGTCGCTATGCGAGGCACCACTGTAATTTGCAGCTGCATTGTTGATTAGTGCTCTCATTTTTAGCTGTTCTGGAAAAAAATTAATCTAGTTATTCTGGGAGAAAAAACTAGAAGAGTTTAGTTAATTCAAAATACATTAATATGGTCTATGCATAGCTCTAAACTTCTTCCTACTTGTTCCATTGGCAGGAACAAGAAAATTTCTTGCTCCCATACCTGCTTTGCTTTTAGTAGTTAAGACTGCATGTTTCTGATATGTAAGGACTATAAAATGATAACAGAACATAATTATTGTGCAGTTTTCCTTACTGGTGTGTTGTGTATTATAAAGGTCCAGATAGCCATTTCTTAATTTCACGGATGTGAATTACAGTGAAATGGCCTGCCCTTCATTGTTGTGTATGTTTCTTCTCCACTGAAAGCTGTTTTAGTTCTGCCCTAAGGAGACTTGGATCTCTGAATGTGTTTGTCTTTCTTTTTAAAAGGTTTGGGTACTTAGACTGCTTCAATGGACAACATTCATGGAGTTTTGAAGACTCTTACTGATGGGATTGGATTAAAAGGTTCTGTCTTCAATGGATCCAGTTGTATTTCACCTACCATTGTTCAGCAGTTTGGCTATCAACGTAGAGCATCTGATGATGGGAAACTTTCAGATTCCTCCAAGACAAGCAGTACCATTCGTGTTTTCTTGCCTAACAAGCAACGCACAGTAGTGAGTTTGTTTCTTGTTTTGTGCAAGATGAAAGATCTGCTGTTTTCCTCTCTTCTAGTATATAAACATTCCAGCGTCCCAGAAGTCCAATAATGTTTAAATGTAGATTTCAACATGGATAAAGTGATGTTTTGTTCAGTGTGCTGACTGAATTTACACATGCATAAATTTGGGAAGAGCAAGAAGACTGGTATCACTTTGCTGAATTTGTGTCCCTGTCTCCTGTGAATAACCATTGCTGATGGATGCATTTTGGTTAATAAGGCAGTGTTAGCTGGGGAATGCTTCTGACTTTAAAATGTGTTATATGTATATCCTTAAGACTTGCAAAATTGCATCAGCCATAAAATTGAGTGGTAAATTGTTAAACATCACAGTGCTAATTGTGTATCAACTACATGAACTGGATCTGATATGGTTTCTGCTGCTAAGTGTCCATTGTAAGACCTCATATTTTCATCAGCAGAGCTGCTGCTTACACTCTGTTAAAGAAGTCCTCTTTCAAAATTACTGGCTTGCAAAAAACAAATGAACAAAATCTAGTAGCCTGCTGAGGACTGGCAGAGGAAAAAAACAGAGAGGGCAGAGACTCCTCCACGGTTTCTGTGTCATCCTTTCTCCCAGCAAATTAATTCACATTTGTCCAATTTCACGCATCTTCCTCTATGTGGGTCTTTTATGTCTGTAGCTCTAAGACAAGTGTTTTCACGCTAGTCACACATCCAGTACAGTGGTGCCTCGCATAACGATGTTAATTGGGTGCTACCTGACCCCACCACCACCACCACCATGTCAAAGATGTATTCTTGAAGGCTTTCACAGCCAAGATCTGATGGTTGTTGTGGATTTTTTTGGCTCTTTGGTCGTGTTCTGAAGGTTGTTCTTCCTGACGTTTCGCCAGTCTCTGTGGCCGGTGTCTTCAGAGGACTGAAGGTCAGGAAGAGCAACATTCAGAACATGGCCAAAGAGCCTGAAAAACCTACAAGAACCATGTCAAAGACGTGCTTGCTCACTCTTTTTCTCTGTGCACCACTCGTCTGTGGTTTTCCATTTTCTGGCAGGATAGCAGGCTTAGAACAAGCTATACTCTTTTAAACACCCTTCAAGAGCTTCCTTTTTAAGGTACCCTAAGATTTTCAATTTTGATTGCTGTCTTATTGAAGTTGTATAGCTGCACAGTATTCAGCCTCCCTTTTAATCTGATTTTGAAACTGTTTAGTTTCATTGTCTTAAGATGGGAGTGAACCTTTGATAGCAGTGATTGCTGTTACTGCTCATGCCGTATAACACTAGAAAAAGTTGAATAGTATGATTTCATACATGTCAGCTTAGAGGTAATTTCTACTTACTTTACTGAGACTTATTTAGTGGATGTAGGATTATAGCTTCAGATAAGCATTTGCACTAAAGGTGTATCCTGTAGGGCTCATTACCTTCACCTTTGATTAAGAAGTTAGCAGTGTTGGGCATGCATTCATCCACAGTGGAGGTTTCATGTCATCAGGCTCTTGTGTGATAATTTTCAGTCATCCAGAGTCTAAGAAAAACTGTGTAAAAGTCACTGCGGAGTTGAATGATGAAGATGCTTCAAAATACGTTGGACATAAAAATTGTCCTTTGTTTTAAACAGGTGAATGTGCGTAATGGAATGACCCTTCATGATTGTCTCATGAAAGCACTCAAAGTCAGAGGTTTGCAGCCAGAATGTTGTGCTGTTTTTAAATTGCTTAATGAACAAAAAGGGTAAGATTTCAAATATCAAGTTCAGTAAAGATGTTTAGATAAATTGCTCAGATAATTCTTGTTAAGATTTTTTCCTTTTAAACTCTCAGTGTTAAGGTGATGCTGCTATGTGTAACACTCAAACATTAAATGATATGAAAATCATAAAATGTATGTTGTGAACAAGGAGGTGAGATGGACACAGGACACCAGGAGGAGGGGAAGCAGTTTAAATCCTAACATGAACCCTCACATGTGTTTATATGCTTAACGAGCCTATTCAATTAAAAATATATTATCCAATTGAAATAATTGAGTAAGCAAAGTACAGTGGTGCCTCGCATAACGAGCACCCCGTTTAACGACGAATCCACATAGCGATGCGGATTTTGCAATCGCATTGCGATGTTCTGAATGAGAACATCGCATTGTGATGTTTTAGAAACAGCTGATTGGTGGCTCCAAAATGGCTGCCGGAAGAAAAAATGGCTGCCCGCAGCATTTTTGCGCCCTTTCCCCGCATACCGGGTGGCGAAAATGGCGGCTGTATGGGGGATTTCTGCATAGTGGAGAGTTTATTCCCCATAGGAACGCATTGAAGGGGTTTCAGTGCGTTCCTATGGGTTTTTTTGTTTTGGATAGCGACGATTCCGGATAGCGACGATTTATCCGGAATGGATTATCATCGCTATGCGGGGCACCACTGTACATTGGAAAAGAAACTCCACCCCCCCCATGGACACAGTCATAGAACAAATAAATTGCGAGTGTTTGTTCTTTAATACATATAAATTCCACATGAACTCACGGCTCAAGTCCATTATCTTAAGTGATTTCATACCTACGAGGTTATTGTGCATTTTGAAGGTTAAACTAACAATTACTTGGGAAAAGTTAATATTCAGAGGCATGTGAATATTTACTTCTTTGAAAAGTAAATGCTTGCATCATACTGAAGATTTTTTTTTCCATCTTGCAGTAAGAAAGCACGACTGGATTGGAATACAGATGCTGCATCCTTGATTGGAGAAGAACTTCAAGTGGACTTCCTTGACCATGTTCCACTCACAACACATAACTTTGTATGCTAATCTTCTATGTATATAGAAAATGACATTTTATTGGGAGCATTTTAACAGAATTTTTTAATAAGAGATAAAGCAAGAATTTGCTAAAGGCATTTTAATACCTTCCTAGTCATAAGCATGGAAAGCAGAATGCTATAGTGTTTGTTTCCATATCTTTCCAATCTTAAAAATTAAATAATAGACTGCTTATAAGTTATGCTGCTGTCCTATGCTCACCATTAAATTCCTTTGATCATGCTTTTGATAGGATTTCTGCAATATTGACACTATTAGAGAACATTACTCACGTTTCTTCCTGGTTGCCCCTTGTGGGTGTAAACATTGAGGCAATTCCTCATAGGTACTGGAATCTAGGTCTGAGGAGAAATGGTAACTGTTCAACTGAATATATCTGTGGTCACCAGAAGCTGGCTATTCTAACTATACTGGTTTTCTGAATGCTCAGATCAAGGTTAAAAATGCCTCTTTTCAGAAATCTCCAGACAGAATGTAGTTATAGTCACATTAGTGTTATTTTTAGCAAAAAAATAAATTTAAGAAAAGCAATAAGCAATAAGACCTGTTATGGTGCATTCACAAGTAAAATTATCACTTGCAAGCAAGAAAAGAAATCAGGTACACGAGCAATGTTCCCTCTAAATTGTCCCGCTGCGTGGGAGCCTCACTCCCTGTGCATGGTGGTGGGCGTGGCTTCATTCAAAACAGGAACTAAAAAGGCCAGCTGCCTGAGCACAGCCCCAGTGAAACTCTGGGTGAGCATACACATGCGCAGCTTAGAGGGAACATTGGTCACCAGGCTTCTCTGCTAGTTTGTTTGCTATTTGGCTGAAGTGCTTCAGGCACCTGAACAAATGCTGTGGTCAGTGAAGTCCCTGATCTCCTGTTCTTGAACTGGAGCTGGAAAGGGCTGTGGGTAGTACTGGTTCAGCTACTGCTCATGTCAGATGCCTTAGATGTGGCAAAGTAGCAAAGTTCACAGTGCCATGTTTTGCAGGAAGAAGAAATAGGGAGAATGTGGTGTCTTTGCCTTTGTTTAGCCAACACTCTTTGATTTCTTTGGCCATGCAGCCACTAAAAAAAGCTTCAACCTTGAAGCTAGGGAGAAGACGGAGTTTGCCGTACAGCTACTAGGGAAACCTCTGTCTCTTTAGCTCCAGAGTCGGGTGGATGGCTGAGGCTTGTCAACCTTGCCATGATGAGCAAAAATATGGAAGTCTGTTGTTGATGGTTATGTTATAATGCTGTTGTGAATCTTGTATGGGCATTGTAGAAGTGAGCATGTTTTCCATGCTTCCTGTTTTTTCAATGCCTATGTAAAAATTGGCTATGCATAGCATTTTTTGTCTGAAGAAAAGAAAGTCAGCTGGAAAAGTTGACTTTTGAGAAGGAATTTCTCTCTCCTAAATGGCATGTGCTATAAATTCAGTTCTCTTTCTAGGTAGAAAACTGTTCACTTGGGTGCATGTCTCTGTATTCCACTGTTGCTACTAACTCTACTCACTTGAACTTACAGAAAATACCAGGTTTTGCTGTTGTTATTAGTCAACTCTTTTTAGTTGTGCTGGCAACTGATAGTAAAATAACTTCTGAAAATACAAGTGATTTGAAGTTACTATTTAAAATTGTGTCTACTGAAACTTGTTTGGCTTCAAAAAAGTGTACAGGGCATTTTAATACTAGCCATTCATAAGTGTATGTGTTCTGATTAAAGCACGTTTAAAATTACAGATTTCTTGTTTATGAAAAGTACCGTATTTTTCGCTCCATAAGATGCACGTGACTATAGGATGCACATAATTTTTAGGGGAGGAAAACAGAAAAAAAAATATTCTGAACCAAATAGCTTTCTTCCCATACTGCTGGGGAGAGAAAGAGGGGGAATGCTGGCTCCAAGTCACCGCGACAGCCTTTGCAGAAGCAGCACGGGGAAAAGCGATCCCCTCGCCTGCACTGCCTTTGGAAATGCAGTGGGTCTTAGTCTTGGATTGCATTCCCCCTCTTTCTCTCCCCAGCAGCAAAGAAAGAGGGCAAAAGGACTCAAAGCAGTCCCCTGGCTTCTGATCAGGCTGACTCCTTTTGCCCTCTTCCTTTGCTGCTGGGGAGAAAAAGAGGGGAATGCAATCTAAGACATTACCAGGACTCAATGCCTTTGCAGTGGGTCCTGGTGAGGGGAAAAGAGATCAAACTGATTCTAGAAAGACCATGGGAAAGCAGAAACGCAGTCCCTCACTATCACAAATAATGCAGTCAAGTTTACCACATTTGGGGAAATCATAGGGATCAGTATACCCAAAGTGCAATGGGCGAGCCTCAACCTGGGAAAACCACCTTCATGATCATGGTATCTTCCCTGCCAGGTAAGTATGAGTTGGAGTGGTCCCTGTGCCCCCCCCCAAGGCTTGGTGACCCCCCCGGCCACACCTCCCACTCAGAACAGGGCTGCACACATCCCCGGTCCCACCAGAGGCCAAGAGAGCTTAGTGTTTTGGGGGGGTGCCCCACGGGACCCCCCATCAGGGGCCGGATGTACCTCCCACAATCCTCCATTGCGCAGTCATTAGAATACCTGACTGCATCTGCCTGCTTACGTCACCCTGATGGCTTCTGTATTGGAGAAGCAAAGCAGGAAGGAGGAGTCTCTGTTCACCTTCTATGGAGAAGTTAGCTGGAGGCTACAGCAACTCTCTACAGATGGCAGCTTTATTCTTTGCAAACTAAAGATTTGCAAACTAAAGCCCAAAACAGCTGTAGTTTCCCCCATAGATATAAAGGATAATAAAACTGTCATCTGTAGAGAGTTGCTATAGCCTCCAGCTAATTTCTCTGCAGAAGGTGAACAGAAAGAGACTCCTCCTTCCTGCTTTACTTCTCCAGTAGAGAAGCCATCCGGGTGACGTAAGCAGGCAGATGCAGTGCCTATGCACTGGAGGATCGTGGGAGGAACACCCGGCCCCTGATGGGGGTCCCGCGGGGCACCCCAAAACATAGAGGAGCTCTCTTGGCCTCTGGTGGGACTGGGGGTCTGCATCCCTGTTCTGAACGGGAGGTGCAGCCGGGGGGGCACCATGCCTGGGGGGCAGGGCACAGAAGGGGGCAGGAGGTGCAGGGGCCCCTCCAACTCATACTTACCTAGCAGGGAAGATGCCATGATCATGAAAGTGGTTCTCCCAGGGTGAGGCTCATCCATTGCACTTCAGGTGTGCTGATCCCTCTGATTTCCCCAAATGTGGGAAACTCAACTGCATCACTTGGGGTAGTGGGAACTGTGTTTGTGCTTTCCCCTGGTCTTTCTAGAATCACTTTGATCTCTTTCTGCTTTGGTCCTTGGCTGTTTTCACTGCCCTCTGCCATTTAAATTTGCTGCCATAGGCCCGTTGGCCCTGCTGGCTTTCCAGGTGGGCTCCAGGAGGCAGATCCTGGAATGCCAGCAGTGCAGATAGCAGAGTGGCAAGGTGCAATGTGGCTGCCACAGCGAGCAGCCTCTGGTGCTGGTTCAGAGGCTCCCAGCATGGCGGTGGGAGGCTTCTGGGTGGTGGTGGCTGAAGAGGTTTTGAACCCTTTTTTACAGTATTCGCTCCATAAAACACCCTACTTTTTAAGGGGGAAAACTGTGTCTTATGGAGGGAAAATATGGTAAATAATTCTAGTAGTGTAATGTTAAATATTCCTTGGATATGATATGCCAAGATTTTAAGTGGAGCAAACATTTTCAAAGCTTAAGAATCTGACTTTTTTTGAATATAGCTTGGAGTTCAGTTAACAGCTTTAATGGTAATCAATTGCTTGAATATCTTTTCTAGGCACGGAAGACATTTCTAAAGCTTGCATACTGTGACATCTGCCAGAAGTTCTTGCTAAATGGATTCCGATGTCAAACTTGTGGTTATAAATTCCACGAACACTGCAGCACAAAAGTTCCAACGATGTGTGTGGACTGGAGCAATATTCGGCAATTGCTGTAAGGCCTTTTTGCTAAAGGAAGTGACTATTAATTCTTCTAGTGTCAAGCACTACTAAGCTTATAGTGTGCAAAAGCTTAATACAGTGGTGCCTCGCATAGCGAGGTTAATCCGTTCCGGATTAACCTTCGCTATGCTGAAGCATCGTTGAACGGGGCAGGGATTTCCATTGGAACGCATTAAACATGGTTTAATGCGTTCCAAATGGGCCAAATCCTCACCGTTCAGTGATGCTTCAGGATGGCCGGCAGCCATTTTCGCGCCCTCGCCTCGCTTAATGAGGGCGCGAAAACGCTGCGCGTGGCCATTTTGGGCCATTTCCAGGCTTCCGGTGGCCATTTTGGCCGCCGAACAGCTGATCGTCGGGGTTCGTTTTGCGAAGATCGGTAAGCGAAATGCTTACTGGTCTTCGCAAAGCGAATTTTCCCCTATTGGAAAAATGTTGAGCGATCCCATTAGCGATCCGAAAAAACGGATCGCTATGCGATTTCATTGTTATACAGTGCGCTCGTTAAGCGAGGCACCACTGTAATGTAAAAATAACTAGTTGACATTTTTCCCATTTATGTTGTGATCCACATTGCTACAAAGATATTTGCTAGGCTTGTAACAACCAAGAATCAGTTATTCTGACAATTCTGTTTTCCTCAGAACTTCTATATGAGAGCTGTAGGAGTTTCTGGCTGATAGTTCAAAATATTTCCTGAATTGTGTTCAAAGACTGATCCTATTTGCTATAGAAAATGGCCACTCCTGTACAAGAACAAACAGAAGTACAAGTTTATCTGTGTGTTTTACATAGCTTATTTAATTCTCATTACTGCCGATTATATTTTTGAAAGTATATAGGAATTGGGATGTATTCCTGCCAAAATCTAAAGTAGATGTGCAGTTTCTTTTGGCACTGCACAGTGACTATGACTATCTCTGTTTCTTATTTGTTGCTTTTGAGTACCAGTTAGGAATTGGACCTTGGGTTTCCTGCGCAGGTCTCCTGTAGAACTAAGTGGTTTATTTGCCATAATTTATAAGATTCAGGTAGTACCAGGAAAAAGGAAGAAAACAACCACTTGTTTTTGTAAAAATGGGCTGACCCTTGTCTGCATGCAGTGTTTTCTTCAGCTCGCTGCTGGAGCTGTGGAATGGAAGTTTTCAGGTGTGTGTTTGTCAAAAGACGCAAAAGCAGGGACTTTGAAAACAGAATTTGAAAATACTAGTACAGTGGTGCCTCACTTAGCGATTGCCTCATTTAACGATGTATTCGCTTAGCGATGGGTTTTTTTGAGGAATTCTGTTCTTGTTATGAGAGCTTAAACTTGGTAGGGATCCATGTCTATGCTGACATTATCTCCTTGGGGGTTTTGATCATTGGTCATCTGTACCAACGCTGAAATAAACCCTGAGTGCTCACTGGAAGGACAGATCCTGAAGCTGAGGCTCCAATACTTTGGCCATCTCATGAGAAGAGAAGACTCCCTGGAAAAGACCCTGATGTTGGGAAAATGTGAAGACAAGAGGAGAAGGGGACGACATAGGACGAGATGGTTGGATAGTGTCATTGAAGCTACCAGCATGCATTTGACTCAACTCCGGGAGGTAGTGGAAGACAGGAGGGCCTGGTGTGTGCTGGTCCGTGGGGTCACGAAGAGTCTGACACAACTAAATGACTAATACCAGTTTTTTTTCTCACTCTGCAATTCTCTTAGATACTCTTTCAGTCAGCACCATTTTCTGCAGTACCGTGGGGATTAGTATTGTCTTTATGCTGATTCTCACGGTTCTGACACATGTTTTTGATTAGATGCCTGTGTAACTAAAGAGTTTGGGTTAAGACCCAAGTTTATATAGCACAGCAGTGCATGAATTGCTGAAGGGCTTCTAATTTCAGTATCAAGAGAAGGATCTCAACTAACTTATGCCACTTACATGCATCCCTGCTCCTTGAAAGGGTATAAGGGCAAGCTGTTGTTTGGTATGTTACACTGATTTTGGTTCGTCTTTGGAAAACGGCAGCTGAATAGTTGAATTGATTTAAAAGTTTTTGAATTTAGAAAAACTTAATTTTATTTTGCATGGTTGGCTATGTTTCAGATTGTTCCCTCATTCAAATGTTAGTGACAGTGGTGTCCCTACATTGCCTCCTTTGACAACTCGGAGAATGCGGGATTCTGTTTCTCGGATGCCTGTTAAGTAAGTTGTACTTGAAGCTTTTTGGTTTTGCATAATTTGTAACAGTAATTCTGAGGCTTGATAATTATGTGTAAAGAACACCATACAGTGGTGCCGCACTAGACGCTTACCCCGCATGACGTCGAAATTGCTTGACGATTACATTTTTGCAATTGCTATTGCGATTGCAAAACGATGGTTCCAATGGGAGAAATCCACTTTACGTTGATTAGGAGCCTGCTTCGTGAACTGTTTGTTCGCAAAATGATGTTTTTTTCCGGCTCCGCAAAATGGCTTTCCCCGCAAAATGTCTTCCCTCCCTTCTCAAAATGGCTGCTTTCCAGACGGAAGCTTCGCATTACAGCGAATTAGAACAGCTGATCGGCGGTTCTCTATGGGCAATCTTCACTGGATGGTGAGCTATTTCCCCCCATTGGAACGCATTAACCAGTTTTCAATGCATTTCAATGGGGATTTTTTTCCGCTTGACGATTTTGCTTAACGGTGATTTTCCTGGAACAGATTGTCGTCGTCAAGCGGGGCACCACTGTATTGTGAATTTTGGGGCAAACCTCTGTTTTTATCTAATTGTACATTAGGCTATTATTCCTGGGCCTGCAGTTCTAAGCAAGAAGAGTTGGTGTTCTGGAAGCTACATATTATTAATTGAATTGATTTTATTGATCTTTCAGGGTTTATTTTAAAATAGTCTGCCAGTTCATATGCCATTCCAAACCATGGTTTGCCTGTCCTCTGGCTAATACCCTAAAATTCTGCCCTCTTCTTAAATTTGGCAAACTGCAAGTTGTGCAGTTGTAATCAAATTGCTGAAGTGTTGCATTTTTTCTTCTCCATATAAGAATTGGAAGACCATTTCAAACCTTGCTGTTTAATGTAGTTTTTGAGAGTAAGGGGAAACCAGACTATGGTTTATCTGAACCAGGATTTGAGGGAAGGGAATTGTGTGTGTGAGCAAAAGCAGTGTAGTGATTCCAAGGCTTGAACCCAATAGGGGAAAAAATCAATTTTATTGTCATATCAAACCCAGAATTTAATCAGATTTGTCTAATAGATTCATTAAAATACAACTTTCCTTCTGGTATAGATGTGAAGAAGATGGTGGAAACTAAATGTGATGATGCCAAGATTTGGGAACTAGCTTATATAAATCCTTTCTTCATTGTGACTCGTACTTTTGCAAGTGACTTGGAAGACGACTCCGTCATAAAATAATTCTGGTTGACATAAAGATCTAGTCTTCTCGACATCCTTGTTTGGAAACAGATCTCACTGTTTCCCAGTTTGGATATCTTGCTCCTGATCTGATGAATCAAGTTTGATTGGAATGAGAATTGTCTGGTTCAAAGATAATAATCTGTTTCATTTTACAAGTTTATCTTCAAAAGAAGTAGCTGAAAAAACTGGATTAAATATTAGAAACTTTGAGGTGGTTTAGCAGATCTATAGTGATAAGTGGCAGTTTCCTAATAGAGAAGGGGGAAATAATACCTTCTGTTTTTCCTTCTTTAGTTCTCAGCATAGATATTCTACGCCTCATGCATTCACATTCAGCCCAGCAAATCCTTCACCTGAGTGCTCCCTTTCTCAAAGACAGAGGTCTACGTCAACCCCAAACGTCCACATGGTCAGCACTACAATGCCTGTAGATAACCGGATAATTGAGGTAGTCCTATTTCTATTTTGCCAAGATTTTTTAAAATTTCTGATTACATAGTTCCTTAAACCTTCTTGCAAATGTTGATGGATATTTCAGATGTCATGTTTACAAATTCTGCAAGCAATTTGGAGAAACAGAAATTAATTCCTTTATGCTTGTGCACTTCCTCCTCCCTTTTGTATTGGACTAGATAGAAAAATTCATTTTCAAATGTCAGTTTTTGCCTGATATCTGACTGGTGATTGCTCAAAGCGTGTTTCTAATTCTAGTATATGATTTGGAGGATTAGAGAAAAAGATGTTGGTAGCCATTGGATGGCTAACTTAGAGACACCTCAGTCTTTGAACTGGTGCCACCTATGTTAACTGGTTAATAGTATTTTCCACACAAATGTTGGATCTATGCAGGATTGAGCCCATTTTGCCCCCTCCCCAAGTCTTCCACTTCTATAGCTGCTTGGAATAGTTCATGTACGAATGAAACAATAGATCTGAATGATTACAGCATTTCTTTCAATTCATGCTTTTAAGTGTTTGTGATATTTTTCTTTTGAACCATTGTATGTAGTTCTTTTGGTTTGGTTTTTCATAATTCTTTTTCTGTCACAAAAATAAATAATAGGGCAAGAGGTGGCCAGTATGAATCTTAGAAGCTATTTTGCTGAGGTGGCTAAAATTACCTCAGATACCTGAATGTTGAGGCTTTCAGAAAGAAAGGATGGTGATTACTGATATCTTCATCAGCAGAGAATTTGTAGGCTTGTAAAGAAGTGTTGGAAGTAGTGGTGGATGTTCTCTTGCTTGTTCTGTTGAATATAGATTACCATCAACTACATTAATTTGGGGTTGATTTGATTCCAGATTGAATTGCTGCCTGTACCATTTAGAGCTAAGGCACCATCACTCTGCTGTTGTCATCAGGGCCTGGAAGTGCCTCTTCTACCTCTGTTACATTTCTTTCCCCGCAAAATATATGAGACATCGTAATGCAGCTGTCAGGATGAATAGAAGCTAAATGTTCCGTGTATCACTGTGCCTGTGGTGCAGTTATGCTGTTGCTAAAGACTGAGTGGCCATTCGACAATGCAGCCTTATTGTGCAACAGGCTATTAATTTAGGATGGAAGGTGAAATGGTAGCTCTTTGGAAAGGTGTTGCTTATCCAAACCAACTACAAGATTAATGCAGACTCCAGAGAGAGATTCAGCTGGTTTAACTTGGGGTAAGATAAGGTGTTTCTGTACTGGTGTTATTTTACTGCAGAATAGTAAGCTGCACAAAAGTGTGTTACTTTAGCAGAATAGCACTATATGGTCATGTGATCTACATTCTTTAATATTTTTGATGCTAAGATTTTTTTGCAGGAGTTTATAGGGATATGCCTTGCTGGTGGTTTCTTTACCTGTCTATCTAATTGACAAATAGTCTTGCAGTTGTTGTCTTTACAACAAAGTAACTTTCCTGTTGTTAAAGTTGCGTATTCCATAGTTTGGCAATACTGTAATACCATGACATCACATAATTTAGTTTAGAGCAGTGGTCCCCAACCTTGGGCCTCCAGATGTTCTTGGACTTCAACTCCCAGAAATCCTGGCCATCAGAGGTGGTGGTGAATGCTTCTGGGAATTGTAGTCCAAGAACATCCGGAGGCCCAAGGTTGGGGACCACTGGTTTAGAGTACAGTGGTGCCTCGCTTAGCGATGTTAATTCATGCAGAAAAATCACTGCTAAGCGATAACATTGCTAAGCGAAAATAAAAAGCCCATAGAAATGCATTAAAACGCAATTAATGCGTTCCTGTGGGCCTAAAACTCACCTTTAAGCGAAGAACGTCCATAGCACCACCATTTTCGGTGCCTCTAAAGCGAGGAATCCGTGCCTGAAAACAGCGGGCGGTCATTTTGAAACCGCCGATCAGCTGGCTGAAAATGGGGGCTTTGCGATGATCGCTTCCCTGCGATCATCGCAAAGCTAAATTTCCCCATAGGGACCATCGCAAAGCGATCACTTTTGCGATCGCAAAAACAGCATCGCTAAGCGATTTCGTCGCTATACAGAGCGAGGCACCACTGTATATGCAGTGCATGTTTCATTGAGGTTATAAGCTTGAAAATATGTGAATGACATAGAAGGTTGGAGGATTGCACAAGAAAAGGATATCAATGCTTAGGATAGCTTTTGACCTGATTGATAGCATAAGAAATTGATATGTGTATGCAATTTATGTAATGTATATAGTGGCGAAAATCTTGTTTTTTAGCATAGTAGTAGTAGAGCAGACCCATTAAATCAATGGGGATTTGGTGAGTCAGTTCCTGCATAACAGGCAAAAACAAAAGAAAAATACAAAATAAAGAAGAGAAATACATTTTGCCACCTTAAAGATTAACTGCTCTGTTTTAATGTGAGCTTTCGTGGACAAGTCAACTTCTTTGGATTTCTGAAGCTATCCCCAGTTTCATTTCTTCAGTGGGCCTACTCTTAACTACTGTGCTAAAGTGAGTCATAGTTAGAGTTGTTGTTGTTTAGTTGATAAGTTGTGTCCGACTCTTCATGACCCAGTGGACCAGAGCACTCCAGGCCCTCCTGTCTTCCACTGCCCTCCGTAGTTGTGTCAAAGTCATGTTGGTTGCTTCGATGACACTGCCCAACCATCTCATCCTCTGTCCTCCCCTTCTCCTCTTGCCGTCACACTTTCCTAACATCAAGGTCTTTTCCAAGGAGTCTTCTCTTCTCATGAGATGGCCAAAGTACT